GTAGCTGGAGGAAGGAGAGCCATGACATGCTAAAATGAGGCTCAACTTTGAGTCATTAGAATCAGTTTTTCCGTCATTACAGAGACATGTCCTCAGAGGAGACCAATTCCTCTCTTAGGCCAAGACATTGAACCCAGCAAGACCACGAAGCTCCACATCTCAGTGGGCCTGGGATGTGCTGGCATTAAGTGGGATTCCATTCTCTTGGAATAATAATGAGGATTTCCACTTGGAACATGAATATTAAGTTTCTTTAAAGTCCCACAAATATCTGGCTGTGAAGTAGCTCAGAGAATGGAAAAAAACTTACATATCCAAAAGAAGGCTGCTGTTTTTGCAAACAGAATTTGATTTCATGACACTGTCTAAACATAGCCAAGAATTCAGTTTTGAATAAGGACGGACTAAGTCTAGTATTTAAAAAGAACTCAGTTGACCAGAAGTATTTAATATGTATTACCCAGAGCTGAACTATTAAATATAGTAGCCACTAGCCACATGGAGCCATTTAAATTGAAATTAATAAAACTAAATAAAATTTAAAAAGTTAGTTTATTGGTCACACTAGCCATATTTGAAGCACTCAGTAGCCAAAGCAGCTGTGAGGCTACCTATTGGTCAGTGCAGATACAGACCTTTCCATCATCATAGAAAGTTCTGTCGGACCGTGCTGCTCTTGGGAGGAATCATCTAATAACAACACATTTTCTGTCCTCCATCTCAACCCTCTCCCACCACTTTGTTCTTCAGTTGCCATACACTTTTTCCTGTCTCTCTCTGCCAAGAAGGAAAACAGTTTTTTACTCTTGGCTAAGTGACAGAGGGCAAAAACTCCAAGATACCCCAGAAGGAATTAGCCTTCATTAGCATGTGTTTTCTTGGCTAAGTCACTCACCTGGGAAAGGCACTTGCATTTAAATGCTTGCAATCACTAGGTGCCTTAATAGTACCCGCCTGGGTGCAGTTATAAATCACTGAAGTTAAACCATTTCTCCTAAACTTTCTAAATGGGTAATTCCTTCTTTTGCAGCATTGGCCTGAGTTCTGAGTTTAGATCTAGGGGCCTTGAGCACCGCCCCCCTCCCTCCCCCCGTCCTACTCCTTCCCATCCCCAAGCTGGGATGACTATTCCTGCTTGTGCTCTGAGCTTCAGGCAGCAAAGACCATCTATTATTCATCTTTGAATCTCCAGTGCCTAGCCAGCACACAGCATGGGAAAAGCACCCAGTGAATGTTTGTTGAAGAAATTAATTAATCAATTGTATAATCGATCAAGATGCCTTCAGTTTTCCCAGTAGGATTTTCACTAATTATTCCTACAGAGAGTTCATTCCCCAGCACATGGATTCACAAGTCTGGCTGTACTTCAGAATCACCTGGGGAGCTTTTAAAAACTACTGATGCCAGGACCCCACGCCAGATCAATAGAAGCCAAATCTCAGATGGTAGAGCTCAGGCATCAGTAGTCTTTATAAAAGCTCCCCTGAAGGATTACACTGTGCATCACGGGTAAGAGTCATTGCAGTTTCTGGGTTGGTGGTTGTAAATAAGTCGTCCTCCTTTTGGATGTGGTTACCCAAATCCCATCTCAACCTCTGTCTCTTTTGCTGTAAGAGTAGCATGAATCTGGTCTTAACAGTTAGTTCCCTGATTCCATTGTGGGATTACAGTGTCCCCACTGAACCAAAAAGAAATTGTGGGAACATAAACTCCCTGTGGAAGCTTTATTTCAATGTCTTAATGAAGACTCAAGCTAGAACTATATTGGAACAACACAACAAAATCTCTTCCTTGAGATCTTCACGGGTGACTTAAGTCATGTGTAAGTTTGCTGTCATACAGAGATTTTAAAAGTAGGAGACAAAGCTGCATGCATGCCATGATAGTCAGTATGGAAAGTGTATCTCCAAGGGGAGAAAAAAGATTTGAAGATAAATGAACAAAATCTCTAGTAGTTGCTGTGGATAAAGCAAGGGCTTGGGGAGTTGGGAGATTAGGGAATGGATTCCAGGTCCTGTCCATGAGAATCAAATGAGAGAAAGGGCACTGGCTGGAAGGATCTCCCACTGGTTGGTGAGGTGCACTGGGTATCTCTGAAGGCTGCCCCAGATAGGAGGAAGGAGTTTCAAGAAATGACTAAGCCAGGATCAAAACAGGAAGGTAGCCATAAGCTCCAAGCACTAAGGTATGAATGAGATGCTCAGGCAAGACTGTAGCCAGAAGGAAGATGAGGAAAAAGAGGGGGTCAAGTATGGACTGAGGGGTTCTGAGCCAAGACCAGGGAATGTTGGGCATCCTTCCACATGGGCTGGCCTGTGCTCTCAAGCAGAGGTGGTTTCTAAAGAGGGGCCCAGCAAGATTTTTTTTTCCTTCTTCCTCTTTGTTTTTCCAACTATCATATAATAGTTGCCTAACACTAATGAATGTGTGCTTATGCATTGCGAAAATGAGCCAAATGAAATAAGATGATAAGAAGACACTGGTAATTGCTATTTATTGAGCAGCTACTGTGTGCCAAACACCAAACAAGGCATTGCACACACATCTCAGTTAATCCTCTCAATAAATCTGAGATGACGTTATCATTATTATCCCTACTTTAAAGATGAGAAAACTGAGGCTGCCTGACTTGTCCAGGATTGTACAGCCAGCATGTGGCCCAGCCAAGATTCAGTCCATATTGGCATACCTCCACAGGGATGCATTTGCTCACATGCCCAAACCAAGCTTCGTCTGAATTTATGGAAATCGTACCCTGGCTCCATACATCCCCTAAGGCTACCTCCTCTGTCACCAGGAAGGCTACAGAGTCGTGCCAATACTGGCTATCCTCACATGTTTTCATTATGTGGCAGGGGTTTTATGAGACTCTACCACAGGCTGTTTTTCAAATTTATTTAATTCATCCGTCATGCTCTGAAGCCATTTGCTTCTTTATATTGGACAGATGTAATGAGATTTTGGACACTAAAAAATGTTTTTATTAAAAGTTATGACCCAGAGCTAGTTGGTAAAGGCTGTGCCATAAATCCCTAGAAGTGTGTGAATTTATAAAGGATGTAGCGACATAACCTTAACCTTTTAGGTCACACCATAGATTACCCAATCACTTAGACTAATATTGTCTCACTGCCACTCCCTCCATCTGGCCAAATAATAATAATAACAGTAATTTATGTGGTTATCTGAGGTGGTTGCTCCTCCTCCTCTTTGCCACATATGGCTCCTGGCAAGCTGGTGCCTGGTGGAAGCAGGTGGCTAATGACAGAATTTGCTGGTGGTGGCTGGTGGTGGTCATGGGTATGCTGGCTCTCCTGCCCTGCTCTATAGCCCTGTCTGTACCTGGGCCTGATGATGTGACAGTCGCGTCTTGTAGACAGGTTGAGATCCTGATTATAGGTGGTAGTTTCTGCACTTCTCTGTTGCCAGCAGGAAGCACTCCACAGAATTAGGAAATGGCACAATTATTTCTGTTCATGCATAATAACTGCAGTTTTATGTCAATATTAGATTTATATTAATGTTACACTACTTGGTAATCACCGAAAGAATAATAACAATATAGAACAATAAAGTTGTTCTTTATATAGAATAATATATAATAAATAATAGAATAATAAAGGTGATATAGAGTATAACATGATCATTGAAATCTATATAATGATATCATATGTATTATCTATAACATCTATTATTGTTGTGACTTTGTTAAATGAATATTTGTTAAGTAAAGTTCCGGAGTATCAGATGGTGAGTGCAGTTCAACAGAAGACCAAACAGTAGAAACAGAGAAGTTTATTATTCAGGTCCTGGAGAACATACATGGCATGCCTCAAGGAGTCATGCAGGGAGATCAGGGCAGGGCGCAGGGTGAGAGCCCCTGGGTATGTGCCTTCATTAGGGCCAAAAGGTGAACAGCCTGTGGTTCCCGGACTAAGGCTGGAGTGGTCCATTCAAATGAGAAAAAGGGTTTTGGTAAGTTTCACAGGTGTCTTGTCTAAGGGGCACACAGGAGGGAAGCTCTGGAGGTGGGGAGACTGCCTCCCACAAGGCCACTGGGACAGCAGACAGAGTGAGAACTTACATCAAGAGCTTACATGTACTTATGACTCTGCAGGCTGTTTCATGGGGCACGCGTTTTATGGGGCACGTGTCACCAAGAAGCTAGTGTCCATTCAAGGTCCCTATGGGCAGCTTGGCTGCACAAAATGGGTGTGGAGGCCACAATATTATGCAGTAACTGAGCAAGACTCTCAGTGATTATAAACAGTAAAAGAAAAAAAATAACAATTAGATTTGGACACCTGCCAGCTACTTTTAAAACACACATTCATTCATCTGTTTTTGAACACTGCTGTGTGTCAGATCCCTCTGTGAGCAGCTGGGGATTCAGGAATAAATACAGCACAGTCCCTGCTTCAGGAAGCTCACAGTTGTAATCATGCAGGTGATGTACTATTTTTCTCAGAGAATTTTGAGCTCATAGAATCAAAGAGTGCTTCATGGAAGAGGAGGCCTTTCCACTAGGTTTAAGGAATTTAGTGAGTTTTGAGCTTGGAGATGAGGAAAGAGCATTTAAAGCAGAGAGGAAAACACGCACAGAGGCACTTATGAAACCAGGTGTTCACAGATTGCTTGCAAGTTACGTTTGGCTAAAGCGCATGGTAATATTTTTTTTCCTTTTAAAACAAAAATCTTGAGTGTGAACATCATGCTCTTGTCTATTGCCACTATTGAGACTGCCTGGGTGATGTCCGTAATTGCAGGGACATAGACTTTAAACCTACAAACCGACTGCTGTATTTCTAACCAGGCCTGTGTTTTATCATCTCCTTATGCTGGGAACATATTCCAGCGTTTTCACAGTCCATTGGCAACCACTTCTGCCTACCAAGACTGTGGGAGTGTATACCATAGATACTGTCATCATTAAACTCATAAATCCATGTCATTTGTGTGTCATTCACTTCATCCTCATTCATCATCCCTTACGCTTTCAGAATGGCCATTCGTTTGAAGATTTTGAAGAACGGTTTGCTGCAGCCACCCCGGTAAGAATGAGGGGGCCTGTCTGGTTAACTGTGTCATGTCATTACCCCATCGTTCATCCTCATGCTCATGAGTGGCGCCTTGTGGTTACAGAACAGAAACCTGCCTGTGGACTTTGATGAGATTTTTGAGGCAACAAAGGTAAGGTCTCCAGGCTCTTGAAACTAATCTTAAAACAGCAGTTGTCCATCACTCCAGATGTTATTGGGGAACCATCAGTTGTTCATAGCAAAAAAAGCTGGGGAGGGGGCTGGCCAGATGGTGATATTGAGCTGTCCCCTCAACAGCCAGACTACTCCATACCCCCTACCCTGGCCTTGGTGGCTTCCAGTATCACTGCTTACCCTGGAGAAGGTCCAGGGCCTAAGGAAGGCAGCAATCTGCCATCAACAGCCACACTTGACCTGAAGACACCTGCAGAGCCAGGAACGGAAAGGCGAGTAGGCATCTCAAGCTGACCTTCCATGTGACTTCTTCAGATAGATGTGCACCACGGTAGACCTTTTAGGGACCCTGGCTTCTGGTTAGAGAATATTGTGGGGCTGCCCTTCCACCACTTAGGAAGACTAACCAGGGCTTTATAAAGTGGTAGATAGGTAAGCAAGATGCTGCTTGGTCTGTGGTCCAGTTCTTTTATCTGGTTCTTCATAAGCAAGTCATTCAACCTCTTGGTCTCAGCAAAATACAGATCATAGGAGAGATATTTATGCTGCCAACATCACAAGGCTCAGCAAGTGTCAAACATGGTGATAATGTATTGGAAAATGTAAACTGTAAAATGTTTTACAAATGTGAATGGTTTTATTCTCTTGAGGCTGTTAAAATGATTAGTTACCCCAATATTGTCAGATGGAACATGGCTTATTAGGTTACAAATGAAAGGACCAGGGTTAACATGGGGAGGGGGCTTGTGAGAACAGATATTAGTCCACATTCTCAACTACATATAGTTATTAGAATTATTTTTAATTTTATGGCCTAAGAATCCCCTTTTTCAATAAAATTTAATTAACTCAGTTTCTATTTAAACAGCAAATCCAATGGAATGAAATAACCTATGTTTTATGCTTCTGCATGTTTTCCTCGTTTAATCCTTGAGTGAAAATCATCTGGCAAGCGGAAAGTCTATATCTCAAGAATGAAGGTTATTTTAAAAGTTGTGCTTAAGAAGAAAATTAGCCAATCAATTATATTTATGATGTTAGTAAAAGTGTACCATGGGTTCACCACATTTGAAATGTAAATTGTGTGACTTAATCATTAACTTCATTTCATTATTTTCCTACCACTGAAAGTGGTTGTGGACCATTTTAAAAGCATTGAGCACCAATTGAGAGAGGTAGCTCAGAAGCTTCATTTGAATTAATTAAATCGAATTATTCCTCTTATGAATTCAGGAGAGCACCTAAAGGGTTGGCATAGTTTCACCAAACTATATAAAATATTGTAAACATACTAAAGAAGGCTTCCTGAAGATAGGCAAGTATTTGGGAAAGCATCTTCCATGGCCACTTCATTACCATCTCTTAACTCTGGACTGTGATCGTATAAAAGAGAATCAAGTCAATGAAGAGTGGGTGGAAAAGACTGGAATGCATGCAAGTCCCTCATGATCTTACTCCTGTGCACTCTGCCAGGCTTGTCTCCTTTCTCCTCTCTTCACCCTCCCACTGGTTACAGCAAACTGCGTAGGCACCACTCTGCTCAGACTGTTCCAGGCTGCTGTTCTTTGTGTTCATGTATGTTCATCTGCCTGGATTCTCCCTCGTCTTCTTGTCTTGGTTGCCCCACTAACTGCTCCTTTTCTTCAGGATTCAGATCAGGGCTGTTTCCTTTAGAAAAGCCTCTTTAAACTTCTTTGCCAAAAGCTGGCTGAGTCCCCATCTCGGTTCTCCCGCAGTGCCCCATAAAGACCTGTGTCTTCATCCCTGCCACACTACCTTGAAATTATCTACCTCTGTGGCTCATCCCCATCAGACTGTCAGATCCCTGCAGGCTGGGACTTGGCATTTCTCATTATTATGTTGCCAGCACCCAGCACTTAACAGTTGTTCAGTGTGCACAGGAAAAACACTGTAGAGTTGGGAAGGAAATTAATATGTATAGGGTCCTACTGTGTGCCTGGCACCATTTTCCCGTATGAAAGCTTAAGGGGAAGAGTTTTAAGTGTGTTTGTTAACCAGGCTAAGCTGCTTTCAGAAAAAAAAGAGCCTTTTGTGCCTTCTTACCCAGGTTTAGCCAAACCTAAAAGAAAGTCCTGCTAGTAATATATGGGGAGGGGGCTTGTGAGAACAGATTATTAGTCCACATTCTCAACTACATATAGTTATTAGAATTATTTTTAATTTTATGGCCTAAGAATCCCCTTTTTCAATAAAATTTAATTAACTCAGTTTCTATTTAAACAGCAAATCCAATGGAATGAAATAACAACCTATGTTTTATGCTTCTGCATGTTTTCCTCGTTTAATCCTTGAGTGAAAATCATCTGGCAAGCGGAAAGTCTATATCTCAAGAATGAAGGTTATTTTAAAAGTTGTGCTTAAGAAGAAAATTAGCCAATCAATTATATTTATGATGTTAGTAAAAGTGTACCATGGGTTCACCACATTTGAAATGTAAATTGTGTGACTTAATCATTAACTTCATTTCATTATTTTCCTACCACTGAAAGTGGTTGTGGACCATTTTAAAAGCATTGAGCACCAATTGAGAGAGGTAGCTCAGAAGCTTCATTTGAATTAATTAAATCGAATTATTCCTCTTATGAATTCAGGAGAGCACCTAAAGGGTTGGCATAGTTTCACCAAACTATATAAAATATTGTAAACATACTAAAGAAGGCTTCCTGAAGATAGGCAAGTATTTGGGAAAGCATCTTCCATGGCCACTTCATTACCATCTCTTAACTCTGGACTGTGATCGTATAAAAGAGAATCAAGTCAATGAAGAGTGGGTGGAAAAGACTGGAATGCATGCAAGTCCCTCATGATCTTACTCCTGTGCACTCTGCCAGGCTTGTCTCCTTTCTCCTCTCTTCACCCTCCCACTGGTTACAGCAAACTGCGTAGGCACCACTCTGCTCAGACTGTTCCAGGCTGCTGTTCTTTGTGTTCATGTATGTTCATCTGCCTGGATTCTCCCTCGTCTTCTTGTCTTGGTTGCCCCACTAACTGCTCCTTTTCTTCAGGATTCAGATCAGGGCTGTTTCCTTTAGAAAAGCCTCTTTAAACTTCTTTGCCAAAAGCTGGCTGAGTCCCCATCTCGGTTCTCCCGCAGTGCCCCATAAAGACCTGTGTCTTCATCCCTGCCACACTACCTTGAAATTATCTACCTCTGTGGCTCATCCCCATCAGACTGTCAGATCCCTGCAGGCTGGGACTTGGCATTTCTCATTATTATGTTGCCAGCACCCAGCACTTAACAGTTGTTCAGTGTGCACAGGAAAAACACTGTAGAGTTGGGAAGGAAATTAATATGTATAGGGTCCTACTGTGTGCCTGGCACCATTTTCCGGTATGAAAGCTTAAGGGGAAGAGTTTTAAGTGTGTTTGTTAACCAGGCTAAGCTGCTTTCAGAAAAAAAAGAGCCTTTTGTGCCTTCTTACCCAGGTTTAGCCAAACCTAAAAGAAAGTCCTGCTAGTAATATTGTCAATAAATCTGCAAAGGAGGTACTATCACTTCCCCTGCCCAGTAAGAAAATAGTAGCTCGGAAGAGTAGCAGAGGTTTGAAGTGAATGTATCCCCAGATGTGGGGCCTTTTCTAGCACTCAAAGCACACATACTCACTTTTCAATAGGAGAGAACATTCCTTTCTTTGTGTGAATCATAGAAATCCAGCGATACCTGCTTAGAGGAAAGTGAGTACAGGCAATCTGTGTTGCAGGCAGGCAGACTCCCCCTCTCATTTCTATAACTGGGGCTTTATGTTCCCCCAACTAGAAGCTACCACCTAAAATCCAAATATGAACAGGAAATGTTTTTTCCTCATTGGTCAGGTTTTCACAAAGCATGTGATTGTATACTTTTAAGTCAGGACGTTAGGTTCCTGGCCATAGACTTCCTGCCATCTCTGAAGGTGGAAGTGTATGCTGATTAATTCCTAAGTGTTTCTTAAAGGGGTTTTCTTCTGCTGCTATGGATGGCCTTGCTCAGACACTCTCATATGATGGATGGGAATATAGACGATACTGTGTTTGCAGTGATGGAGTTCCTAGGAATGATTAATAGTGTATATACTGAGCTGTTTTTGATGCTCTTCCTAGTATTAAATGATATGTTTTCTTTCAACTACATTTTTTTTAATTCTGAAGTCCAACTTTTCAGGGACTGTCATTTGACTGCATGATCTGTATGCAGAAAATTCAAGTCCTGACCGACCCTGAGATCACCTCTGAGAGTCTCAGTTGATTCACCTGCAAAAATGGGATGATGATTTGTACCTCTCAGTGTTAGTGTTATTGGGAGTGTTTACTGAGAAGTGGCCATAAAGGCATATCCTGCTCTACTTAGCACTTGGAAGGTACTTTGTACATGTGGGCACACTCATGAAAGAAAAACATATGATGAGATTGCCTTCCTGCCTTTATCTCCTGGAGAAGAGAGAGAGACAGTGCTGTCGTTTGATGGTAAATAAGTCTGAAGTGGTACTATTGCTTATTTATGGCAGGTGGCTAAATCTGCATCTCCTTCACTAAGCCCAGGTAAACAGCCAAAAACGCTGAATCTAAGAATTGATTCTGGCTGTATTCCAGATGGTGGCTTTAGGATCGTGAGGTATTGTAATGACCAACTGAGCATATTGTCTTTTTTTCTTTACAGGCTGTGACCCAATTAGAACTTTTTGGGGACATGTCCACCCCTCCTGACATAACCTCTCCCCCTGTAAGTACACCCTTCCCCTCAGCTCCAGGTCCCTCCCTGTCCTTCAGCCACACAGTGGCAAGAAGATGGGCTTTGGGTACAAAAAGCATGCTAGTGGACTCTTTCAGACTGCATGATTTGGGCACGTTAACTAGCAATTCTAAACCTTAATTTCCTCTGCTGTTTTTTTAAAGGAATTATGAGACAATTTCACAAAAAGTTCTGTTTTGAGAAATAAATGAGACAATGCATTAGTAATTACACAGTATCACCTGAGTGCTTGTATTACGCTGGGCAGTGGAGAGAAACGTAAGTGGGATGTGGTCCCTGCCTGCAAGGAGCGCATGGTCTAGTTGGGAATATGGGCAGGAACCTCAGCAGGACCACAGGCACCACGAGGCCTTCGCTAGCACCTAGCCAGAGCCCACGGCCAGGTGATGCTCCCAGCAAAGGAAGTGTCTTTACCCTCTGCCCTCCAACCTCACCCTGCCGGCTGTTTCTGCCCTTTCCTCTCTCTTTTCCTTCCTCTTTACCTCTTTCTGTTTCCTCCTCCTTTTAGCCTGCCTCTTAGCTTTGCTGAGCTGCTCTTGAAGCTTCAGACTCCCGGCTCTAGTTTCAGCCAGTCATTGCTTGCAGGGGGACAGAGACTGCAGGGAGCCCTAATTTGAAAGTGAAAGGAAGGGGGAAAAAAAACGAAGCAAAAGAGAATCCCAATGCTTTGAGAACCGGATGCATTCAAAAGCAGCCCTGCAGCCAGTGCAAAAAACAGCTGAGATGGCCTCTCCTGCTCCTCCCCCTCCCTGCCCACTCCCCGGAGGTGCACAGAGAGCCATCAGCTGCAGCTGCACCAGCTGAAGCTGCTGGGTGGGGGCAGCTCCTGAGGGCACTGCGCGGTTTACAAACCACAGGATGGTGCTATGGTTCACTGGCGAGGTTCGCCTCATAGAGGAAAGGCTGTAACCTCACCACTGAGGACAGATGGCATGAGACTCTGCTGCCCACAGCTGCTGCCAGGGAATCTAGCCACAGCTGCCCTGTTCCCAACACCTGATACCCAGAGCAGCCGTGAAGGAGGGGACAGCTGCTCCTGTCTCCAGGGAAGTGGACAGCTCTAGTGAGTCTCATGCTCTCCTGCATCCCAGGGGTAACAGCTCCATCTTGGGCACTAGAGTCTCAGAACCACAGGGCTATGGAATTAGAGCAGAAGAGATCTTCTAACCTCATCCCCTTCATTTTACAGATGAGCAAATTGAGTCCCAGAGAGGGCATGTGACTCACCCAAGTTCACATAGGGGAAAGAGAATGGTGTTGATTGTATGTAAAAGTGCTTAATGCAGCAGCTCAAGGCTGTTTCTGGCCCTGAACCCAAGTGCAGTCCAAACGGGCATTTAATAATTCTATACAGAACAATGCCGTTCATCCCCCAAGCTGTTAGTCTAAAAATGGCTTTGTCTAATTGCCATGTTTTCAGGATTAATTGCTTGCCCCAGTCTATTCCAAGGGGGTGGGGTGGAATAGGATATTTTGGTATCAAATAGGCATATTCCATAGGCAAAAGGCTGCTGTAAACAGGTGTAAGCCTTTAAAAAAGTGAGTACTGATGTTTTTATTTTAGTACCACTCACCGTACACACCAGTTCATACAGCAGACCTTTCTGGAATTCCAGCAGGGGCCAGGCACTATAGAGTTTGCAGCTACTCAGCATTGTTTTTTATCATCTTCTGGAAAATATTTACTTCTTTTTCCAAGATTCAGGCAGGATTCTGGGAGGAACCAGGGTACCAGAGTCTCTGCTCCTGTCTCTCAGCTGTATTCACTCATTTAGTCAACAGTTGTTTATTTACCGTGTTTTAAGTGACAAACCCTGAGCTGGGTGCAGAGTAGGAACTGAGTGAGGGCATGTCACTTTGGGTTGACCATCCCTAGAGGATGACAGCCAAATATTATGGAATAATTTGATGGCCTGAAAACACCCCCAAGGAGTAGGAGCTCAAACTAAATAGTCACGATACTGGCCATCATTTGCTTAGTGCCTACTGTCTGCCTCAGCATGGTATAGTAAGCAACTTAAATGCACAATCTCATGTAATCCTCACAGAAGCTTTAGAGGTGGGGACCATTTTTCCCATTTGTTAGAGAGTGTATGTAACCAGCTCATGGTCTTGCACATCACGTAAGTGGCCTGGACCGTGGCTTGTTTCTGCAGTACCGCACCACCCCCACCCAAATCCCTGCACCTGCTACCTCCCGTCCTCAGTGACTGCAAGCCAGATCTCCCAGGAGCCTCATGCACCCTCTGCCTCTCTGTCTGACAGACTCCTGCAACTCCAGGTGATGCCTTTATCCCGTCTTCATCTCAGACACTTCCGGCAAGTGCAGACATGTTTAGTTCTGTACCTTTCAGCACTGCTGCTGTACCCTCAGGTAAGCTCTCTTTCCTGCTTCTCTCCCCTAGGCCCCCACTCATTAAGAAGGAGAAAGGGTTGACTTGAGCCAGCTGCCAAATTACACCAGAACACCCACAGAACCACCAGGCCCTCCTTGTGGCTCTTCAGGTGACATGGAGAAGCTGCCAGGGGGGTGGGGTGGATGGTGTTTACAAAGCTCTGGTATACCCGCCGGCTGGAATTCAGTGATGTCCTTCACTTGGAAAGGTCACGATTCCTGGTAACTTGGGTATGGCTTTAGAGAGCTTGGTGCTCACACCATGCAGGTCAGTACAAGTTCCTCCTGTCCTCAGCCAGAAGGCAGGAAGGCTGCAAGCAGGGGAGGAGATGAGTCAGTTCTCCACAGGCCTCTCGAGATCTGATTGAAGAAGGGGTCTGCCTCATTTGGTGGGGACTCAAAAAGGGGAGGTTCCCCATGCAAAGGGGAACATCTGGGGGACAGAGCAAACTGCTAAGTGTGAATCGGGAGGGTGATTATTCTGTTTTCCAAGTATTCTTTAAAATGTGTGTGTTACTTTTATAACAGGGTAAAAAAATTACTATATATAGTAACAGTATTGCAGGTGAGCTACAAATTGGTAGGATCTCAGGCATCTTAACTTGTTTCCATGGCATCACGCATTCCAGGGAACTGGGCCACTCTACTTAGACATGACCAAGGTGGTACCCTACTTTTTACATACATGAAAGCCTTAAAGCCTTTTTTTCTTTGTTCAACTGTATATTTAAAATCTGTAGCTTCATCTTTCTCTTTCCACTTGATTCTTGTCAGTGGCAGAGTTCGAATATTTTAGAATACAAATCTTATGTTTTTTTCTCTGACTGCTTTTAATTACATAGTGTTAGAAGCAAATTCTTGCCACCAAATATCAACTTTATTGTTATTTAAAGTGAATTAAAAATTCATGCCCTGTTGTTCTGAAATAGTTACAGTTATTCCTCATGAGCCCAGGGATCATTTTAAACTTTTAGAAGCAACAGAGTTTGGTAGCCACTGGGTCTAACCTTCAATTTTAAATCTGAAAGTAGACTAGAAATGTATTTAATTTCTGAGCTTCACAATCAAATCTGTTTTACCCATCTCTAAAATGGGACTAGTTTTCCTTACCTAAAATGGATACTAAAATTTCCTTGGGAATGGTGTCAGTGTGTCACTTTTGAGTAAAAAGAAGCCTTCCACCAGAAATGCCCTGTCTTCCTCTGCCATCAGTCTTATGTTCAGAATACGAGTGCTTTGTCCCACTATTTGATTCATGAAGATATGCTGGGACAGATGATGGGAATTCTAGGCACCAAATAGGATTTGCAGGCACATTCATTCCACAAATTCCCAGTGGGCCAGGTCCTGTTCTCACTGCCTGGGGTGGGTCAGTGACTACATCAGATGCAGACCCCTGCCCACTGAAAATTTACTTTCTGTTGGGAAGACAGCAACAACATAAAAACAAGTACTTGTTTGTAAGTGTGGTAGGACAGAAGAAAATGTAGGGCAGAGGGGAAGTTTTGGAGCAGGCAGAGGGCAGGCGTAAATGGAGGTTGTGGTCAGGAGGGGCTCACTCAAAGCTGAGATGCGAGCAGACCAGAAAGGGCGAGGGAGGGAACCAGATGTATCAGGGTTAGAAGCAGGCAGAGGGGTGGTTGGGCCCCTCTGAGTCTCCATTCCATTCTTTATAAGGGAGAGGTTGGGACTGGATGCAGCCCTGCGTGTCTTCCCACCCTAACATTTGGTTAAAAGCAGCGAGGTCCTGCCCAGGCAGGCACAGCCCTGCTCTCACCCTTCTCCAGTCACTTCTCCATAGCTTGTGTCCAAACAGAGCTTTGAAGACGTGGATTTTAGTCTTGTTACTTGACCATGAGCAAGCCACTGCTGCACATCCAGAATTGGTTTCTTCAGCTGCTAAAAAATTGATAGATTCCTTCCAAGATTTCAATTTTATAGAACATAACTGAAGTTAATTTCGGTCAGCATGTTTTTGCTTTCTTACTCTACTTCAGATATGCTGAGGCACAAAGCTAACTTCAGCTAGTGCTGAACTGCCTGCCCTTCACCTTGTCCAACTGACCCTAAAAATCTCTCCACTTGTTGCATCTCCTTCTACCTGCCCCTAACTGCCTAGCCAGTGATAAGGAGACAGGGAAATGAATTGGGGTATGCAGTACAGTAGATGGCTGCTGGAGATTTTTGCATCCAATGGGCTGGGTGTGAATCCTCACTGAGCCATTTATGTATAAGCTTTAGGGCAAATTACTTACCTTGTCAGAGACAGTTTCTTCATCTTTGTAACTGAATTTGAAAATAATACTTATCTTGCAACACTATCATGGAAACCAAATGAGAAAATGAAATGCTTTGAAAAATGCTGGCACTTCATAGATGCTTCAAGTGGAAAGTGCTGTTATTATTATTACTATTATTTCCAAAGGAGAAGAAAATATGTCTTTCCCTACCTATTTTTTCCTTCTTTGCATGGTTTTTAAAAATGCATATAATAAAGTGTAGGTCTTTGGCCTCTGGGGCAAGGCAGAGCTGGCCTTGGGAACATGGAGAAGGTCCTATGTGTGAATACAGACCTTGCCACGAAGCAGTGTTATAACACTCAGCCAAGTCTCTCCAGAGCCTCAGGGAACTTAGCTGTAAAATGGGGGTCATAATTCCACCTCATAGAGCTGTTCTGAGGATCGTGAGTTGATACACGTAAGAGGACAGGTAAAACAGTGCCTGACGGTGTTTACAATAGCAAGCCGGCAGCAGATGTTTGCCACCCTGTTAATCAGGAGCCCTGGCGCCGTTCCCCAGGCTCTGAGTAGCTGCAGTAAAGATTCCCCTCAGGAACCTGCAGTTCCTTGTGCACAGGTTGAACAGATATTGACAAAAGCTACAATGCAGGCTTGTTGCAAGGTTCAGCTTCACAAAAATGTGTTCTCCACTAAAATGTGGGTTGCTTTTTTTTTTATAGTTTTATTTGCTGCGTCTCCAGAGACTAAAACAGTGCTTGGTGCTCAGTAGGGCTATTTTTGAATGAATAAATGAGGCATAATACAGATAAAAGGTACCAGGCAATATAAATTATCATTCTGCATAAATGTTGAGGGAGTCTCTTAGTTTTCAATGTTTCTCGTATGTTTTAATTTGCTTTTTTCTTCTTTATTGATGTAATGAGGGTATCCCCCAGGTGCTAACATCTGGTTATAAATTGCAATTTTCAGCACTTTTAAAAACTCTCTAACTGTAAGGTAGTAATGCAGGTGTTCACTTTCACTTTACAGCGAGATTTAAGATTGATCTGAACTCCATAGCATAAACAGATGCTCCTTGGCATCTCCTCCCTCCGTGTTGAACGTTAATGAGTAAATGGTTACAAAGCTGTTAAGTGGCTGCAGTGGCAGCCACCGAGAGACTTCCCGTGTCCAGTGCCGCCCCAGCCTGGCCACTGAGGGGTCCATTCAGTCATGCACAATGCCATGTGGCCAGAGAGCCTCAGCTCACAGGTCTGGGGAGAGCCCAGGCTGCAGGGACCCTCCCAGGAAAGGCAAGCAAAACCTGCTAGTTCCCAACATGATACCCAATTACCCTGCACTGCCTTTTTTTTCCTGAATGTCGTACTTTGGTCTGAAGCAGATGGCATGGAGCCAGAGAGACATGTTAATAGCTCTCTCCAAAAAGTGTGTACAGCCCATCTGTTGGTTCCTTGTGGAAAAAAAAAGACAAGGGGGAACCTGTCACCAGCAGTAGAATCATCAGAAATCATAGTACTTAAGGATCTTGGAATTTAAGTGTACACCTGGAAAAATGCAGTGAAGGCATTTATTCCACTGTGACTCATTCACCTTTATGTAGAGCCTTTCTCCAGTCTGGTGTGTCCTTTGTGCTAGACACCGAGGGGACAGAGAGAGAAAAAAGAAAGGGTTCCTGCTGGCAGGTGGTTTCCAGTCTAATGAGAAAGACAGAATAGCTGGGCACTTACAATGCAGTGTGACAAGTGCCGTGACAGAGATGAACACGGGCCTGTGGGAGCCCAGAGAAGCAGAGCCCACCAAGTCTAGATGGCAGGGGTGGCACCCAGCAGAGGTGACGCGGAACGTCTCAAGAAGCAGATGAGGAGCAGCCTCACGGGACAGCTTTCCCCGGGGGAGTGGGAAATGGGGCTGAAGAGGTGAGAAAGGTGCCGACACCCAAACGCTTGTAAGGCCGGCTGAGGCATCTGAGCCGCACACTCAAGACAGTGAAGTACTGTGTTTGCACGTTAGTCCTCTGGTGGTCACAAGGATTGTGGAATGGGAGCAAAATAAAAAATTGGCTGATGCCTTCTATCCATTCACCAAATGGGCATCAGGGTTGGGGTGGCTGAAAGAACCATAGAGGATTTCCACCCTGTCTAACCTAGTGTCCCCTTTTTATAACACCTATTTGTAATGTCTCCTTTAACATCTTGAAGTGAAATTCATAGATAATATAACCTACCTACCTCTACAGTTTTTCCAGAAATCAATATAATGTCCTAACTATAAGGAATAAATAAAAGAAAGCTAATTTATAATAAAAATACATGCATTTCAGTAAGGAAATACCCAGGTATAACCAAATTGGAAGATGTGCTAAGTGGTCAGGTATGTATAACTATAATCACCACAGGTATAGATGGATACAGGAATGTCGGGTTGGCTGAAACACCATAAGAACTGTTTCTGCCAGGGACCCCCATTTTCCAGAATGATCAACAACTTTTGACAGTTTCCAAGCAAAAAAAGTACAGTCTTCCCTTAATGTACACAGTTGTTAAGATTCCTGAAAAATTAAGTGTATTAAAGCTATGCCAAGAAACTTTGAATTTCCATGCAATTCAAAGTCCAGTCTGAACTCAAATGATCATAAAGCGAATGTGGGATAATTCTTTGTCATGCGCAGTGTTCTCACACATTATAGGATGTCTTGTGTTAATGCTCTCGGAGCCTTGAACGCCAGTAGTGTCCTGCTCCTCCAAGCTATCATGACAGCAAAAAACACCCCACAAGTTTCCAAATCATCCCCTAGGGGGCAGTAGCATGGCCACTGCGAGCCATTGAGCCCCATCAAAGTAAGAACATAAGAAATACAGAGTTTGTAGTGTTGGCAGGCTCAGGTCATTGCATCATTATGTGACAGGCGAGGCAAAGGCAACATTGCAACTTCGCAGTTACAAATGTCACACCAAAGCCTCTTCACCCTCTTGTCCCAGTGCCCTGGCACTAGGGTGATCTCACAAGGATAGTGTGCATTTTGTTGGCATGTCTGCCTCATTCCATAAAAGCATTTAACACTGCGACAGTAATCAGCTAATCAGCAGGAAGCTGGGGTATCCTGCCTGTGCCCCTCTGTAGCCTCTTCTCCGTTAGCAAGAAATGGCCTGGCTTTGAACGTTGGCTCCACCCCTGATCAGTCAGTTGAAGGGCAGGAGGCTCTTGAGACTGGGGCATGAGTGAGCATCGTGCACAAGATGTCTCTGGTCTCCCAGAGGTGCTGACGTGACCCGTGAACACGAGCAGTGCCATGGGGCCTGCCTGTCTTCCCTCTGGAAGTTGCTACTGTACCCCGCACCCACTCCCCCTCTGTACCTGCCAAGTCCTTCTGACAGCCGTGAAAATGCTTATCTCGTGAGGCCAGGCAAAGCCAGCTTCACCTTCTACTCTGCCTGGCATGGTCGTGTCTCCCAGGCCCAGCTGTGCCTGCATGTAGCCCATGGCCCCTGAGAAGGATGGGACCACCACAGCACGTGGGGGCTTTCCAGACCTTCAGAATGCTCGACTGTTCCATGGTGATACCAGGTGTACTGACTCTATAAGATCAGAAATCAGCCAGGCCATCAGGGTGAGACACTGAGGTAGAGAGGAAGGACATAGGCTTTGGGCACAGATGACCTCCGTTCAGATCCTGACACAACCTTGTGCCAACTATGCGACCGTGGACAAAGACTTTTGACTCCTATCTCAACCCCATTTTTTTAATTCTTAAAAGGGAGCTAACCTACTCTGCAGGGATTTTGTGAAGGTTTAAAGCACCCAACCCTGTACCTAGAACGTTGTAGGCTATTGATTATAGGACATTGCTTTTGTTACTATTGCTGTTGTAAAAAACATCCTTTTAAAATGATTATGCCTATCTCACCTGAGAGGAATAATAAGCAATGATCCTGGTAATGTGTGTGAATACACCCCCTGGGGCTTTGTAGTGCCCAACCCTTGCCACTATAGGAGGTGCTCCTGAGATGACAATCACATCCATTTTTTTAGTCCCTAAAATTGACATAATAATATAAAACAGTGTATAATAATACCTGTAGTTATCATTGTTTATATAGCTGTTATACATCAAGCAAGGTATTAATTACTTTAAGGCTCTATCTGATTCAAGGCATACTAATTGCTAATATTTACTGAATGCTCACTCTATGTCAGGTATAGTACTCCACTTTAAATATGTCATCTCTGTTAATCTTTAAAACAACTCTCCACCCCAGCCTTGAGGCAACAGGTATTTTGTGCCCATTTTACAGATAAGGAGATAGAGCCTAAGCTCTCCGAAGATTCCACAGATAAGAAGCAGCAATCTGAATTTTAACCTAGGTCTCTAAAACTCCAACATCTTGATTCTTATTCACTTTGTATTCACTTTGATGCTGTGAAAGAAGATGCTATAACCTGGCTTTAGGACAACAAGCCGCACTCTCAGACAGCTTGGGCAGTTGAGAATTCCCTTGGGCTGGACGAAGGAGAGGCAGGATTGAAACCCAAATGTTCCTCACCTCTGCTCCTCTGCCCTTGCCCTCCAGAGAGTCACTGGCTCCTGAGGCTAGGTGATGTCAGAAACCTTTAACAACAATGGCAGTATTATTGTCCTTCCCCTAGATGTCGGCCTGGCTTGCTCTCTCACTGCATTCTAGTTTGTGCTTACAAATCATTCCCTAGAGAGGTTCGCCTGACCACTGCTCTAGAAGGCAGGCACCACGAGAGCAGGGACTTCTGTCTTACCTTTGCATCCCCAGTCCCTGGCCCATAGCCTGACACTGAGTTGTCACTCAGTACCTTTTTGGAATCTGTGAATAGCTCTTTCCCAGGGTGCCTCACTCCTTTTTCGCCCTTCCAGGTTACGTGGCAATGGGCGCCGTCCTCCCATCCTTCTGGGGCCAGCAGCCCCTTGTCCAACAGCAGATCGCCATGGGTGCTCAGCCAGCAGTCGCTCAGGTGATGTCGGGGGCTCAGCCCATCGCATGGGGCCAGCCGGGTCTCTTCCCTGCCACTCAGCAGCCCTGGCCAGCTGTGGCCGGGCAGTTTCCGCCAGCTGCCTTCATGCCCACACAAACTGTTATGCCTTTGCCAGCCGCCATGTTCCAAGGTCCCCTCGCCCCCCTTGCAACCATCCCAGCCACGGATGACTCCACCAGGTCAAGTCCACAGGCTGAAAAGCCCAGGCAGAAAATGGGGAAGGAAATGTTTAAGGATTTCCAGATGGCCCAGCCTCCACCCGTGCCCTCTCGCAAACCCGACCAGCCCTCCCTCACCTGTACCTCAGAGGCCTTCTCCAGTTACTTCAGCAAAGTCGGGGTGGCACAGGATACAGATGACTGTGACGACTTTGACATCTCCCAGTTGAATTTGACCCCCGTGACTTCTACCACGCCATCCACCAATTCACGTGAGTGCCCTTCCCTGGAGACGTAAGCCCAAGGGGAAGCAGAGATCTCAGCTTACATTCCACAGGCTTCTTTGTTAATATTACCACTAATCGTAATAATAGCTACCAAGTGTTAGCTATCAATTAGACATACCTACTCCATATGCATTTTATTCACTATTTTATACTCCTGTATATCCTCCTGATACATTTTATTAGACCTGTTTGACAGATAACAATAGGGAGATTCAAAGACAAAGAATAGGCAAAATGGTGAAATTGAATACAAGCCTATTATTTTCCCATGTCACTTGGCCTCTTCGGGTTTTGTTTCTTTGCTCACTCATTCATTCATTTACATATGTCCCTGCTGAAGAACAGATTTTGATGGGGCTTATCAAAATCATAAACGTGAATTTTTAAAAAAAACTTCAAGGACAAGGATAAAAAATGAGAATAGAAAATTAAGATCAGGAGAAAACTTAAGGCAGCTGAAGGGTTTCATACACCTAGGAAAGCTGAAGCCAGATTTTGATTCAACACTTTGAGTAGTCAAAGAGAAAAAAAGATGGTGTAGCCAAAAGCTTTGGACTAGGAACCCAGAGAGCAGCTTTATTCCTTACTAATTTTGTGCCTACTGGTACCATTTTATCTCTGTGAGCCTCAGTTTCCTCATCTGTCTAGGCTGAGGGTCATTAAAAGGATTCAGCGGCACACGTACTGAAATATCATCATATACCTCACAAACCTTGAAGTACTTCTCACATCATTATGATTGTATATTGTGTGGTTCATGCAGAGTCCTGGACCAGTGTTCTAAGCTCAGCTGCTCTACCATAAGCTGGGTCCTTGGGCAAACATGATGCTTTTCTTAATCTCACTGTATCATAGGTAAAGCTAGTGAGTTGATTTGGATGAGCCTGTGCCTCATTCTAGTTCCAGCATTCAGTGATTGTACCCCAGCTCACTTTTCTACCATAATCATCAGGAAACCATCACCGTGCAGCCAGTCAGAATCCAGATACACTTGAGCACACGTGCTCGGTTGACACCATGCGGAAGGTGTTGGGTGATTCAGCCTGTGCCTCGACAATTGATAAGAGGAAAGAAAAGGCTCATGGATCAATGAGTTTGGCATTTTCATTACTGTCACCAATCATATGGATCACCTCTTGGCCAATACTGTGAATTGTCCAAAAAATCTAATTTTCCCACAATTAGATAGTGTCATTTCAGCCAAGTTCGGAAGGCTGTTCTGAAAATGATGCCTTCTACGCATGTAAACAGCCTACTCCCACTGAAGCCATATACATAGTGGGGGCATCTCTATTAACGCTAACCCACAGGGTTTCGATGAAGAAAAATAAATAAAAATGAAAAGCTGAAGAAATGAGAGCCCTGCATAAATAAGGGAGCATCTTTTAAAAACAGACGTCTTTCCTTCAGTGGGCTTGTGCACCAGCTATGAATGAAAGCAGGAAGTTTAAGATCTTTGAAGACAGGGTCTATGTCTTAATCATTCCTACCTTTCTCATAAAGCTAGCCAAGTATCTAGCAGATGGGAGGCATTTGGGAGAGACTGTAGAGAATGAAGCAAACAAAGCAAAGGCCCTCTGGTACTGTGTTTTAGAGCAGGGCTTTGCAGCCTTTGCATTAATTGATCATTTGGATCTTTGTTGTGGGAGCTGTCCTGTACATGATAGTGTGTTTAGCAGCATCTCTGGCCTCTAGCCAGTCGCACACATCCTCTCCCCCTAGTCATGACCATCAAAAACTACCCTAGATATTCTCCGATGTCCCCAGGAGTGAGATTGTCCCAGAATGAGAACCACTGTTTGAGAGTATTAAAGTATTCTGGAAAACCTCACAGGTAAGGCAGTCATATGAATTATCTCCTAGTTATGCTTCCAGTTGATTTAATCTGATAAGTATGAGCCATACACCTCTCAGAGTTGGCAGCCCAGCCTGAGCTCTCAGCCTATAATAAGTAATAAACCACTTCAAACACAATTCAGGAGTCAATGACACTAATATTTATTAAACGTCTATCACATGTAGAAGTGTTTTCATATGATTTACCTCATTTAAACCCACAATAACTAATTTGTTTCATAATCATCTCATGAAACAAAACAAACTTCCTTTTAAATTAAATATGTTTTAAAGAAAATGAATAAAATCAGCCTTCAGGTCCTCTTCTCCATGAGCATCACCTTGAGAATGTTTTGAGTGGAGGATCAGTTGGATCAAAAGTAAACCTCAGACAGAAATAGGAAAGCACACTTGCCTGGACGGTCAGGCACACCTGCGTCCCGTCCCAGTGCTCCTCTACCCTAGCCGCTAGCTGCGCTAGCCTGGGAAAGTCACTTCACTTCTCTGAGCTGCACTGTCTTCATCAGAGAAAAATAATAGGTACGTAAATACTGTATCTACCTTGCAGTAGTTAACTGTTTATATTAGAGAACATAACGAATGCAAAATGCTTAACATAGTGTCTAGCTTGCTGGCTCACAATATATGGCGTCATTATCCTAAATGTAGATTCATCAAGGCAAATGGTATTCACCAAGTTTTATAATCTCTCATTGTCTGATCAGCAGCCATATTTTGTAACTTCTGGACAGTTATGGAAGGGAGGCCTTACTAACGGCATTTGAAATTCAGCTACTAAATTAAGCCATGCCATCCTTTACTTGGGGCTGAGCCAGTGACTGGCATTTTCAGTGCCAAATTGGAGATGATTGAACGAAGAGTAGCCTCAAATGGCATATTTGTTATAAACCTCTGGAATAAATAAGATGAGGAAAATGTGGGAAGGTCAGGACAGAAAATGCACATCCTTATGGAGTGAGTAATAAAGAGCTAGCCATGCAGTTGCCATCAGCTACCTCCATTTTCCCAGATCAGGAGACACTCTTTATCCAATGTGTGTTTATCAGGTACCTACTATGTGCCTGGATACAAAAGCTGGTCTACCAGTTGCCAGCAATGTGGCCTTGAGCAATTTAGCAACCTTCATTTTCTTTATCTGTAAAACTAGGGTGACTCCTACCCCAAAGAGGCTTTGTGAGGGTTAGAGATATTGTCTGTAAAATTTCTGACACATAGAGGGCACATATCACTGTCCTTTGATCTATTCTGATTGAAATAATTATGTAATATTAAGAAAGAAGAAAACTATAGTCCAGTGGTTCTCAGCTTGAGTGTGCGGAAACGGAGTCTGATTCGGTAGGTTTGGGGTGGGGTCCAAGAATGGTCATTGCTAACAAGTTTCCGGATGTGGCCAGTACTGCTGAATGGGGACCATTCCTGGAGAACCATTGGCCTTTCACATCAGTGTGGACCGGCTCCTTCCTGAACATCAAGTATGTAAAAAAACAAGATATGTATGTACAGAGCAGATAGTCAACTGTTCCGCTGATTCAATTTGTTATAGGAAGAGGAGTCCTGTGTTCTGACTTGGCTATAACCAGATCCCTGAAGTTTCTGTGGGACATAAATGGTTGCAGCCAGACACTTACGATGTTTCCTCTTTTTGCATGGTCTCTGTGTAGCTCCAACCCCAGCCCCTCGACAGAGCTCTCCGTCCAAATCATCTGCGTCCCACGCCAGTGATCCTACCACAGATGATATCTTTGAAGAAGGCTTTGAAAGTCCCAGCAAAAGTGAAGAACAAGAAGCTGTAAGTGACCAGTTTGTTCTTCTGTTTTTGCTTTTCCTTAAAATTAAGACCTCTGTATCTGAAATAGACAACACGTGAGAAAACCTACATAGAAAAGAATGCTGACTCAGATTCTTACATTCTGAATGAGTTACTAAAGGGGCTTCCTGTTATATTTGGACCAAATGAGCAGCTGAAAAACATTGTCCTTTCATTAAGCTGTTCTTATAAGTCCTTGAATTTGTGGTGTAGTATCTTCTAACCGAAGTTACTGCCTCCTTTAGAAGAACTGATTGTATGCATGCATGAAAATGTTCCCAGCTGTCTTATATGTTCAATTGTTGAAAAGAGAAAAAAAAAGTGTTATGTTCTTGTGTTCTAGCCTGATGGATCACAGGCCTCATCCAACAGTGATCCATTTGGGGAGCCCAGTGGGGAGCCCAGTGGTGATAATATAAGTCCACAGGCCGGTAGCTAGATAGCGCAGGTCTGGGTAGGTATCTGTTCTTTTTATCTCCTTCACCCTACCTGCGATCTGCTTTCCTTTCTGCTTGCTCTTCATTTCTGAAGTCCCATCTCGATGTTTGAACCATGCGTGTTTGCCTGAGCGTGCCCCTGATGTTTGAAGCATCTCTCTTTGCCTGAGCATGTCCCTGATGCTTGAGCCATCTTGCCTTGCCTGGTGTCTGCTTGCCACCTTGCTTTTCATCATGGATGCATGACCTTTGACATACACTGGGAGGTAGGGGTAGGGGTGAGGAGTGGGGAATGGTCATATTATTTTATTGACAGTATGTTCTGAGTGGCTGGCGATAGAATGAGGCATGGTCAATACTAGTAAACATGGACTCAGTTTCTGAAAGCACCGAGATGGACACATTCTGCCCACACAGACAGTTTCTCAGGGAGGTGGTCCAGATGCTTTAATCCTCTAAGTAAAATGTCACTGTGTTTTCTACACTGATATGAAGAGTCACCAACCAAACACCTGAGAAGCCAGACTAAGAAGCAGAAATAAGCAGTACTTGAAATAAGACTGATAGGGAGGTAAGATCATGGTAGCCCATTTTGTGTAGCCAAAAGGGGCTCTGTACCCTTTCCAATGTGTAAGTGAAATTCAAAACTCAAAGACATGTAGCATTTGCTTCGGAGGCTCTGCTGTTTGCACCTGTGCTACCACATGGTTTACCACTGAACCACTCCAGATTCCATCAGCAGCTGCTTTTAAAGAAGCATACTTACATTTACCAGAAGTGGCTTTTGGCACTTGAATTTCAATACATCTGATTTGATTGAAAGAAAGAGGAGCTGATGATACAAACCTTCTCAGGAGACAAAAGTACACCTTATTCCCTTGTTACCCAGACATGATTTCTAAGGTCACTCCTTGACTCATGTGTTCAATTTTCAGATACTTTCCGAGCTTTCCATAAATGTGTAGGACTGCAAGGCTGTACCCACCAAGTCCCTTTTTTTAAGTCCTGAACAGCATGGTCAGAAGCATTAAAATGGTAAATAGTTTTCACCATTCATAAATGGATTCTGAGGCTACTTCGAAATCCTTCTCAGTTCATGTATAAGTTATTTTGACAGTTACTGAAAACTAATACAGCGTTTTGAAAGTACATTTTGTTAATACACTTTACGATTAGGGAACTTAACATACTCTGGATTTTACCACATTTTATATCAGTGCAAAAGCAAAATAATACATCATGCTGTACAAAACCATGTGATACCCATCTAGAGATTCAGTCTTGCAAAGCTGTTCAGGCTGTTGGTGAATCAAAGGCAAAGTCAATGTTCCAGGAAGGAGAAAATTTAGAGATTATGGGTGAATGCCATGGAAAGATTCCCTAAGAGGTTTTCTACTCCTTGCATGTGTTTTCTTTCACATGCTCAACCTTGCCTTGGAAAATCTGATGAATGAACTAGAGGTGACAAGAGCCAATCATCAGCATCACAGCAAACATCATCTTAAAAGTGAAGTTCTTCTAGAAAACAAAGATGATGACTTACACCATTTACAGGTCAATGTATCAACCCCTCATCTTTATGAGCCTGTTCAGCTTGAGGCAGTTATACAATTTGAACTGTTTTGTGGGGCTTCAGCCTGTTCCATGTTTGATGCTATATCTAGAACCCCAAGCCACAGCTGAGTTGTAAATGGACGTAGCATGGTATAGTGGGCAAAGCTGAGAATTTGGAACTTGAGTTCAAATTCTAGCTCAAGTACTTCATAGCAGAAATTCTTGAGCAAGAACCATAATTTCTTTTGAGTCTTGGTTGCTTCATCTACTAGAAGGAGCTTATATAATCGGTTAGGCTAACTGAGATTGCATTATGCTGTGTCTTTAGCATGGAGACAGACACTCAGTACTCAGCCTAAAGCTCAGCTTTAAAATATGGATTCTGGAGAAAGCTTTTCTGAATTCAGAATCTAGCACTACCACTTTCTAGCTATGTGACCCTAGTGAGATTTCATAATAAGTCTCTCTTATTTTGAAAAATAGGGATAAAAAATAGCATCCTCCTCATGGGGTTACTGTTTGGACTAAATGAGATGATCTACATGGATCTCTTAGCACAGCGTTTGACACGTAGCAAGTGCCCAGCAGGTGTTAGGTGTCATCCCCCACCATCATAATCATCTGTGCTCAAGGAACATTCCCCACTACCTTAGATTTTAACCATTTAGCTTCTGTGTTGAATAAATTCTGCCATGAGGATCGAGGCCATTGGCTGGGAGGTTGTGCTATATACCTTCTACCTTCAGATAATTAACTCTCTATATGCCTCAAAAAAGCTT